CTCCAGAACCAGTCCTAAGAGCCCTGTGCTCACCTCCATTTTGATGAGAATGTCTCACCTCACTCCAGATGTAACCCATAAAAGTTCAAAAACTTTTATTGTTTTGAAACAAGGTCTCATTATGCAGTTTAGGCTGACTTTGAAGTATGAAGCCAAGGCTGGCCTCAAACTCAAAATGATGCTCCTGGCTCAGCCTTCCGAAGTGCTGAGATTGCAGGAATATGCCACCATGCCTGGCTCATTCTTCAAGCTATGGTCCCTCAGACCTGATCTTTTGGGATCTGGTACAGATTCAGACCCTTCTCTTTCAGGTCCCTTCTTTCCTATGCCTGTCTCAACCCCACCCTTCTTCCACACGTGAATCCCACAACTCTACAGTACTGTAACCCTGAACATTGAATACAGTTATCCAAGTATCATAATCTCTTTTCTAGTTTTCCTCACAATCCAAAAAGATATATTTGTAATCCCATTGAGATGTTACTGGAATCCTAGATGTTTTTGGGTTCTAAGTCGAATCCCCATGAGGATGTGTGGACAAAGGCTCTGATCCCAGGCCTCTCCCAGAATTTATTATCTTGTGAAGAAGGGGGTGGCCTGAGGATGAGTGACAGTGAGAATGGTGGAACTACCTGAGTTACTTGAGCTGGCTAGCGAGGCAGGGAGAAAAGCATCTCCGCAAAATACAGAGATAGGGGCTGGGGATTTAGCTCAGTGGCATAAGCAGCTTGCCTGACTCAAAGTCTTGAGTTCAATCTCCTGTAATAAAATACAGAGACTGAGCTGGGCGTGGTGGGTCATGCCTGTAATCCCATCACTTGGGAGGCTGAGTTCGAGACCAGCCTGGGCTACAAAGTGAGCTGGAGGCCAGCCTGTACATAGCGAGACCCCATCTCAAAAAAGAAAAAAAATATATACAGATAAAGATATGTAGACGGATCAATTTGCATAATTCAATTAAGTAGCAACTGAATTGTTTTAGGAGACTGTTGCTTCAGTTTCTTTCTCTTTTTTTTTTTTTTTTTTTTTTGTCTTTTCCTTTTTTATCGGTACCAGGGATTGAACTCACGACCACCTGCTTGCAAGGCAGGTGCTTATGCCACTGAGCTAAATCCCCAGCCCCACTTCAGTTTCTGATATGTAAATTTTTATGCCCTGAAAATCATACCCTCTTTGCCTTGAGGCTCACGCCCAGTTGACATTCAAGGAGCTAGCCAGAGGTTTAGCTCAGCAGAATAAGTTTCTGCTTGGCAAACCCGAGGTCAAGAGTTGCATTTGCATCCCAGGCACAAAAAAAAAAAAAGGACATTCAAGGAGCTATTAGCTCTAACATCCCATCCCACTGTGTTCATATCTTTTACAGAGAGCACTAAGTGAAGAAACAAGAGATTGTTGATGGCTTTAGAGATTACATATCAGTACCTGGCTAGCTTTATTTGCATTGCAATGCTTAGAGCCAGCTCTGTATGTATCAGTATAAGGAAATCAGTCTTTTTTTTTTTTTTTTTAAATATTTTTTCGTCTTTTTTGAGATGGGGTCTCACTATGCAGTTCAGGCTGGCTTTGAGCTCACTTTGTAGCCCAGGCTGGTCGGCTGGAAATCAGTCTTGATATAATCAAAGTTGTAGCAATTGTTTTACATTCAGGGAGAGTCACTGGAGTTGTCGCCCACATACAGATTCAGTTCATCCCTCACCATGTCTGTGACTGTGGCTTCACACAGCTCCCTACAGAAAGCCTTCCCTCTCCCTCCTTGAGGCTCTAGAGACACAAGAGAATCCTGTCTCTGCCAGTATCAGTTTTTCAGTCTTAACCTCTGTAATGCTCAGTTTCTCCATCCATAAAATGGGAAGTGATACCTAGCTGTCAGATTTGTGAGGCTCAGTCGAAGCAGGGATGTGAAAGTGGTGAGCACAGCACTGGGTACTGCAGGTGCTCTGGATGACGGGCCCTTATACTTTCCTTCTGTGCAGCTGTCACCCTCTTCACCCCTGATCCCCACCTACTGATGGGAATCTGCCCTTTTCCCTGTGCCTTGGCTGCCTCTACTTCCCCACTGCCCACGGTCCGGGCAGACAAGGCAGGACAAGGACCACGCAGGGCTCCGACCTGAACCTCCGATGCAGAGTGTGCCCTCCTCCTTCTGGCCTAGAGTGGAAGATGTTCCCCAGGGCCCCCAGAGGCCTTGACAGCTGCAGGCAGGAGGCTGGTGGGGTGGGAGGGAGGCAAGCAGGGCAGGGGAATACCAACCTCACAATATTCAGAGTCCTTGCTCCCTTCTCATCCACCCCCAACCCCTCCGCCAAACGCCAAACTCGGTCCCTGGGTTAATTTTTAGCATCACAGCTCGCACATTAGTCACTCCCTGTCACCCACCTACACGGCAGGAGGCTGCTGTGCTGGTGCTGTCATCTCATCAGCTGAGAGGTGGGCTCTGCCCCGCCCTGGACCACCCCCTTCCCTGGGTGTGTGTGGCTGGCTAGGAGCCCCACCAGCCAGAGTGAGGGGTATGGACATCGCTCCCAAGACCAGCTGTGCAGCAAGGGCAGGGACAGGCTGGTGGGAGACAGGCTGGGAATGTATGAGGCCCAGAGAAAGCCACTCAGGTACTAGCTGTGCCCAGGCAGCTGGTCCCTTGGCAGCCCTGGGTCTTGGGAACAAAGGTGTGAGAAGGTCCCTCCCCTAGACCTGGGCCCCAGGGAGCCAGTGATGTTTGTTCTCACTGCAGAGCAGCTGTTCAAACACAGAGCTTGGGGAAGCTTCCTTTTCAGCAGTGACCTGGGGGAGCAAGGGGAGGAGCCCTGGCTGGAGCTGCCACCCAGCCAGAAAGGGGTTTCAGAGAGGGAACTGCAGAAGGCCAACTGCAGAAGGAACAGGCCATTCTCCCCTTCCCCAGGGTGGCCCCCCAAGGCAGGGCTAGCCCAGGAGGCTGGACTTCCTCCCAGGGTTTACTAAGCACCTGCCTCAGAAGCTGTGTCAGAGACAAGGTTGGGGTCCTGCACTCAGGAAGGCCAAAGACAGCTACGGAGCAGTCAGTATAATTAGTACCAAGCAGGAGAAACCAGTACAAGGAATAGAAAATAGGACTCTAGGGGTCAAAAGTAAGGGGAGAAGGAACACCATCAGGTTAGATCAGATCAGGGCAACCTCTTTGGAGGATGTGATGAGAGGGGCTGGGGATTTAGCTCAGCGGCATAAGCGCCTGCCTTGCAAGCAGGCAGTCGTGGGTTCGATCCCTGGTACCGATAAAAAGAAGATGTGCTGAGGAGGCCTGAAGATGAGGAATCAATGTGGAAAAGTAGCAGAGGGAGAGTAAACAGGCCAGGTGAAGGGCAGGGGCAGGAACACACCTGAGGAGAAGGAACAGAAATAACAACGTGCCCTAAATATGATATGGAAAGAGAAACGATTGTAGATGGAGAGGAAGTAGAGGCCATACCCCAGAGGGTCTTGTGCAAGGCACCCCAATAGTGCTGTCTTCCACAAAGACTGCCACTTTCCAACTCACTAAGCCTCTGTGGCTGTTGGCCCAGAGGAAGGAGCCCTGTTTTGTAACTGGCTCAGGGGGACAAGGTATTATGGGTAGGGCATGAAAGAGTTTGAACATGCCAGGTAAGGCGGCGTATACCTCTAATCCCACCTACTGGGGAGGATGAAGCATGTTTGCAAGTCTGAGCCTCGCTGGGCAGTTTAGTGAGAACCTATCTCAATGTAAAAATGTGAAGAGCAGAGATGCAGCTCAGTGGCAGAGAGCTTGCCTAGCATATGTAAGGTCCTGGGTTCAACCCCAACTATACCAATTTTTTTTTTTTTTTTTGTCTCTTTCCTTTTTATCGGTACCGGGGATCGAACTCACGCCTGCCTGCTTGCAAGGCAGGCGCTTATGCCGCTGAGATAAATCCCCAGCCCTATACCAAATTTTTAAAAAGTCACTTTTTTCATGGGAGCCATAATGAGTTTAAGCAGGGGATTGTATTCTGATTTCCTTTTTTGACACTTTTTTTTTTTTGCAGTGCTGGAAGTCAAACCCAGGGGCTTCACATGGTAGGCAACTGTTCTACCCCTGAGCCATTTCCTTTTTTAATAGATATTACCCTGACTGCTGTGAGGCCCCCACTGGGGGAGGGGGAGGACCCACTTAACTCCCCTTAGAGCCTCACCTGTGCTGATAATACCCAGGAAAGGACACCAAACAAAAGTGTTAAGTTAGTTCTACTATCTTGCTGTGTGACCCTGGGCAGGTTACTTGCCCTGGGTCACCTCAAATAACGTAGTGACCATGGTGACACACACTGTACTGGGAACTAGGACTGGGCTGAATGAAGTATAAGACAGAAGTTAATTGATCCTTGTTGTAAGGATCTTGTGACCTAAAGGAGAGAGTGGGTACAGAATACAGTGCCTAACAGTCAAGACAATTTCAGATGATGATAGAAGCAAACCATACTTGGGTACATGGATGCTTGACTGGATGAAAAGGCTTGCCGAGGAGGCAGATCCATGTATTTAGGTCCCAGGTGTGGAACCAATGCAGAGACCCCACCTCAGGGGTCAGATAGTTCAGCACAAGAGTAAGGTCTCATTCCTGGAGTAGTTTCCCACTGGGTTCTAATCTAGAACAAAGGGGTGACTTGGCCTGTGACTTCAGTCTGGAAGGCGAGACCTCAGGTGCTAGGAAGAGAGGGGACCCTGGTATTTGCACAGGGATTAGGGGATAGTTAAGGACAGGATGAGCCTTGCCCCATCTAGGTAGATGTTTGAGGGAGGCTGGAGATGCACTTAAACCAGAGACCCAAGTTCAAAAGAGGGAATGGGGCCTCAGTTCTGGCCCATACATGTATGTTAAAATCCCCTGGATGGTTTCTCTGGCTTCAGGCTACAAGAAAATAGGATGGAAAATATAGTGTGCGTATGTGTGTGTTTGGAGGGGGTATGTGGGTGCTGTCAGAGCTTGCCTGAACCCAGACCTCCCCCTCAGGCACTCACCACACTGACACAGATGCAAAAACCCATCAATTTTATACAGTTTGTGGTTCAGAAGCAACAAATGCAAAACGACAGAGCAGTCTGTGCTGCCTCTACCCTACCCTAACATGTCCATTCTTGTTCCCCAAGGGGCACAGAACCAGGACCCCACCCAGCAGGACCCCACTTAGTTACAGGCCCCTGGAAGGGGCCAAGCCCTTAGGGGTCAAGGCCAGGGGAGGGGTCCAGCACCTTGCCCCCTTGGGGCACACCGGAGCTGTGTATGGGGAGTGGGATGACCAGCACAGGGCCACTTTTCCCGGAAGCTAAAGGTAGGGGAGCTAGGGAAACTGAGGAAGAGGGCTTGGAGCGGGGACGGGGTAACATCCCGGGTGGAGGAGTTCTTCCTGGACGCCCACAAGGCACTACTGACCCACACTAGGATAGCACACCCATCTTTGGTCCCCCAGACCTCTCCCAACCCCAACTGCCTGTTCTCCTCCAGCCCCAGAACCCTCTGAGTTCCGAGGAGAGGACTGGGGCGCCCCCGCTGTGCTCCACCCCTCTGGCAGAGACAAGCCATGAAACAGCCAGAGCCAGCCAGGAGGCCAGGCCCCTCTCCCGCTGCTCTGGGCTCCTAGGGTCCTCCGGTAGGGGTCCGCACTCCCCCCACACTCTTTGCACTGGCTGTTAGGAATAAATAAATAAATACCTCTCTGGCCACCCCCGCCCCTACAGCTGGCTTTCCTCCTCCTCCAGGGAGCGGTTGAGTCCGGGGATGAACTTGAGCAGCCGCCTGCGGAAGCTGCGGTACTTTGTCTTGCGCAGGCCGGGGCCACACAGGGCTTGCTCGCGGGCCTCAGTCCAGAGCGTGCCCGGGGCGCCCCCGCCGCCTCCCCCGCCAGCGCCCAGGGCGCATCGCACACTTGCGCTGCGGGTCAGCGCGGCTCGAGGCCCGGACACCAGCGCCTCCGCGGAGCTGGGGGGACGCGCCGGAGGCAGTGGCGGCGGCGGCAGCGCGGGCGGCTCTGCGCCCCGGAAGAAGCAGGTGTGGTAGACGGCGTCGTCGGTGTCACCGTGGGCCTTTTGGGTGCCTCCTCGGGGTCCTCCGGGCGCGGCCAGCAGAGGCCCAAAGGGTAGCGAGCCAGGAAGCAGGCCAGCCCCGTAGAGACAGGAGCGCACGGACTCCAGCGTGTCATAGATGCTGGGGTCCTTCACCACCAGGCCTGCCAGGGCAGAAACACAGAGACCACTGAGGCCCGGGCCAGAGGGCGCGAGATCCAGGTCCTTCCTGCTGATCAGCAGTGTGGCCTCAACCTCTCTCTGTAGGACTGGAGTTACACAAACTCAAATCCTTGTGAGAACCCCTTAGGACATGAGGGGAGGGAACAGGATTAAAATAAACTCTTTGAGCCTTGTGTTTCCACCTGGAAAGCCATGCTGAAACTTATTTCCAAACTCATTTCTCCAGTGTGAGAAAAGTCACACATGTTTGTGGCTCAGCCCAGGGCAGTATGGCACCCAAAGTAATCAGTTAAGAAACCCTTAAAAGGGGCAGGGGAGGGGGAGCTCACTAGTTCTGAGGGAAACACATCGACCCAGGTGCTGACAGGGGAACAGGAGGCCATCACACTCCTGAGCTACTACTCACCATGCACCAGCCGCTGCTCCTGAACCATTAGGGACCGGTATTCTCCCCACTTCTCATACAGGGTTTGCTGTAAGACACACCCCAGCCCCTGGTCAGGAGCTAGGAGCTCCCAGAGACCAGCAGGACAGGGATCAGAGGAGACTGAACACGTTTTTTATTTTATTTCATTGAGACAGCGTCTCACTGAGTTACTCAGGCAGGATTCAAACTTACTTTCTATCTTTCTGCCTCAGCATCCCAAAGTGCTGAGATTACAAGATGTGCCACCACATTCAGCACTACCTTTATGAAGGTTTTAAGAATTCAGAGAGATAAAGGAACCCTAGAAGAGTGGTTCTTGGGAAGAGAACACGGAAGCTGGATTATTCTTGGGGTCTTTCTTACCTTCAGGTATTGCAGTCGGGCCTCCAGTTCTGCCTTTCGAATTGATGTCCCATACAGAGTCTCCAGTCTGAGGATTGAGGAGTCAAAGGCTGAGTGAACCTGGAGGCTCAGGAAACACCAGGGAACTGAGCTCAGGAACCCTCAAGTATTTAGCCCAGACATACCTGAGAACATTGCCTGATGCCTTTATGATATCAACGATCTCGCGATGCCGGATGCCTTCCACATTCAGGCCATTGACACTGGCGATGGTGTCCCCTGCAAGGCAGAGGAGTCAGCATATGCTACAGGACATGAGGGAGGAATTCAAGCTCTTTGGTACGGAATATACCTGAATTCCCTTCCCCTGCTCTTCACAGATGACCTCCGTGCATCTGTTCCCCATCGCAAATATACAGGAATAATACCACAACCTTCCTCCCTACCTACAGTGATGGTAACTGCCAGACTATCCAGGTCAGCTCAGCTTAAGTGCTGAGAACCTCAGAGGGGCTAAGCCCTCATGAACCCACACCCTCAGGAAGGTTTGCTCCCAAGGACTGGGCCCTGGGCTTCCCTAGAGTTGGTTATTTCTGTTTAGCCCATGCCTGTCAAGACCAAGAAAGGGCTAGGGGAAGTAGCACGGCTCCAGGCATGAGAGACCTCAGCTTCAGATTCCTGGTGCCACTGTAAAACTGCCAACCAGGTAGGGCATGCCAGCTTCTTTAAGGGCTCTTCTCATTGGTGCAAAGGGATTAGGGGTCCTTGCTGTGGCTACTGCAGGGGTGATCAGAAGTGAGAGAGAATGGGAAACTGCTTTATAAAGTTGTAATATATTAAGGGCACCTGCTAAATTAGCATGGAAGGAAGCCTAGGGACAAAAATGGTGACAGAGGTGGGTATGATGGCACATATCTATAGTCCCAGCACTTAGGGGGCTGGAACAGGAGGATTACCAGGAGTTTGAGACCAGCCTGAACTACATAGTAAGACCCTATCTTTTTTTTTTTTTTTTTAAGACCCTATCTTAAAAACAAAACAAAGCAACAGAACAGAAACTGGTGGTAGAATGGGGCAGAGAGAAGCAATTTGTCTGTCTCGGGTTACACATTCTAGAAACTGGGGACTCCACATTTGCCCAATTGCAGGGGTTTCCTGTAGAGGCATCATTCATTCTGTTGTTAGAGGAAATAATATGAGGACCCCACACTTGAGCCAAGTTGGGGGAGCAGGTATCCCTAGAATCAAGCAAGCCCAGTGGGTTGTTGCTCCCCATGCTAGGTTTCTGCCCATGCCGGGTTGCCACACTGCCAGGAGGAATCTGATCACTAGGGTAGCAACATCCACCACTTACCAGGCTCTGGCTCTGTGCCCCGGCAGCCCCTCACTGCACTATGACATGAGAATGTTATTACCTCATTTTGCTCATGGGACTATACACAGTCACACAGTAAGTGGCAAATTTGCCTGGACCCAGAGTCTGGATTCCATCCGTTCTTTTTATAGCCTTCTCCAGGCAAAAAGAAAGATTGACTTCAGGAGGGATCTCTTTATTCCTGTACTGGCAGTAAAGTCTTACTCCTCCCAGAGCCCTGGGGCCTGGGCCCAGGCCCCACCTGGTGTGAGTCCAGCCAGCTGTGCAGGGCTAGATTCATGAACTCGGCAGACAAAAGTCACCATCTCCACACGCTGCTCCTCTCGGTGGTGAAGCCCGTAAGTCTGAAACAAACAAGGGGACCCTCAGCCTAGGCACAGGTGGGTCCATGTCCATCCCTCAGACTGACCTCCCAGCCATCAGCATTCTGAACCCAGCTTATCCTACCTGGATCTCAAAGCCAAAAGTCTGGTTGTCCTCCTTCTCCAAAGTCAACACTTTCCTGCAAGAGAAACAAGGGTTGAAACCATTAGTTTGTTTTTGAAACAGGGTCTCTCTGTGTATTTCAGATTGTCCTTGAACTCATTACTAATCAAGGCTGGCTTTGAACTCATGACAATCCTCCTGCTTCAACCTCCAGATTATAGGCAAATTATAGGTGTGTACCACCATGCCAGGGTAACTATTAGTTTTTTTTTTTTTTCTTTCTTTCTTTTGTCTTTTTCCTTTTTATCAGTACCGGGGATTGAACTCACAACTGTCTGCTTGCAAGGCAGGCGCTTATGCCGCTGAGCTAAATCCCCAGCCCCCACCATTAGGTTTAAAACTGTGGCAGTCCCATAACTCCAGCATTCAAGGATTAGGGAGTCTGATCTAGAGTATTTGGGGAGGACTCAGTCTTCAGTGACAACTCTCTCATCACACAGTTTTGGAATGTCCTTCCTGGACTCCAATGAAACTGGCCTTGAAGAACGGCACAGAATTAAATTGGCCTCTAGTGGGGCACAGAATTAAATTGGCCTCTAGTGGCAGAACAGAGAACCTGGAATGGCTAGTCCCTAGAGGGATAGGTTACATACATCCCAGCCTTCCACTGAGCCCCAAAGTTAGCCAGTGACTAGCCGAGACCCCAAATTTGGCCCCAGTCTGGAGCCTCCTCACTGCACTGCATTCTCCACTGCTTTGGGTAAGGGACGCCCCACCCCCAGAGGCCAGTCACGAGGCAGAGGCAGAGGCTCAGCTTCAGCGCAGACCACAGCTGCTCCTCCCCAGCTGTGATGGGGCCAGCCCACCAGATGTGAGGGCTGGGGGAGGGGAGCTTGAGGCCGCCCCTTCCCGCACTGAAGGCCTACCACTGGACACAATGGTCTGGAGCAGCTCCAGATCCTCCAGGCTGGGGGAGCCGTTTCCTCTACCCACCCCACCCCCTTCCTTCCCACCAGCCAGAGGCAGCAGCAGAGCAGCCTCCTAAGGCTGTCCAAGTCTGGAGCCTCAGAAAAGCCCTGGAGACTGGGCTTCTCAACCCCCAGCCTGAGCCAGATATCCTCCAGTGGCTTCACCCACCTCCCCATTCCCACCTGAGCCCCTCACTCTTTGAAGGGTAGCCCTTTCCCCACGCATACTGCAGGAGCAGGAGCAGGAGCCTGGGGCCTGAGAGTTCTGTTTGTCCCTGTGCTCACAGGGCTTCTGCATAGTCCAAAGAACATTCACTGTAAAAGGCTAGGTGGTAAATATGCTAGACTTCCTGTGTAGGCTCCATGTGGCCTCGTCACATATTGGCCTTTGTTTTTATTTTGACAACTCTTTAGAAACACAAAAACAAGCTAGCAGGTGGCACATGTCTGTGATGTGACCCCAGTACTTGGGAGGGTGAGGCAGGATTACTACCAAATATATATATAAATGCAATTTTTTTTTCTAGCTTAAGGGCCAAACAGACCTGATCCACATTCGTAGGCTCAGCAATGTACTTCTACCCACACCTCAGGTCCTTCCTAGAAGTGGTCACCTTCCTCAAGCAGCTGGACATAACTTGGCTACGGTGTAGGCCTACTGGACTTGTGGAGCAGGCCAGGCCAGGGAAGCCTCTTAATCCTGGCCTAGGACATTTTCCACAAGCTTCTCCTACTCCCTTACCCTCAGCACCCGTGGATTCAGATCTCCCCAGGGAGGGGTAACTGCAGGGACAATGGGGGTGCTGAGGAGCACCTAATGACTCAGAAGTCCCCGCCTCCTTTCCTTGCCACCCTCACACAGCCCACACCCCCAGCTGCCCCTCACTCCAGCAGGAAAGCGATGCTTACAGGTGGGCGAATGACTCCCCCAGGCAGGGCTGAGATGCTGTTGTGCGCCCCCCTGCCCTGCCCTACCACCCCAGCACCTCACTCTTTGGGGCCATATCAAGGGCTGGGCGTGGGGTGCTGGTGACTCACCGTTGCTGTTCAGGACTCTGGCTGAGATTCTTCCAGCGGATTCCTGAGCCCTGGGTGGGAAGTCAAGAAAGACAGGTGAAAGGGGGCTGTCCTTGAGCAGATGCTGAAAGCTTTACTCTGCAAGGTCCCTCACTTAGGACCCAGCAGCCCACTTCCTGTTGCCTGTGCTTTCCCAATTTTACACCTGCTTTGGTGCTGCCATAATATTTGCAGAGTACAATTACACTATCACTCTCAGCCTTCTTACCTCACACATTGGCCTCCTCCTAAGTCCAGATACATGAACTTCTAAGGGCCCTGCTGGTTTCCAGCCTGGGGAGGGGGTTATGACTCTAGTACAGTCTCCATCATGGGAAGAGAATTGGATGTGACCCTAGAAGCTGAGGCAAAGCTCTTCTTCAGTGGGATTCCAGGGCAGGATGCCCCTGGACCCACCTATTGAGGAACTCCAGGGATCCCCTGCCACATGGGTCTCTCCAGCTAATTTTTCTCCACAGTGGCTTGGGAGAACTCAGGTCAGGGGGTCAGGAAAGCTGGCAGTCCCAGTGTGAATGTGGCAGAGTCAGGGAGGTCTCCTATAGGCCAAGCTGTTTCATGGACCAGCTGTGCCCAGCCAGATGGGCCTCTCCACATTGTATATATTTTGTTGCTTTTAGAGACAAAAAAAAAAAAAAAAAAAAAAACTTAGCCATCAACTTGCCAATTTAAAGAGAAAATTAGGGGTCCTTTTTTGTGGGAGAGGTGACAGCCAAAGATCCCAGCTTCCTCTTGGGCCTTTGATAAACTAAAGCAATTGCTCCCTCTCAAAATTTTGGTTCTTGGAAGAAGTTCCATCCACCCAGCCCTCTCCCTGCATTGCAAAACAGCCCCAGGCCTTCCCTGGTGAGTGCTCTAGTTCACACTGGAACCCATGAGTTGCCCAAGGCAAGGAAGAGAGGGGGCTTTCTCCAGAACTAAAGATTAACCTCATGGGTGGGGACAATTCCCAAATGGGCTAAGGGCGGGGACACTGGGCGCACAGAGAGACCCCTTTGTCTTTCAACCCGATTTTCATAAAATGCAAATTCTCAACAAGCTGTTTATTGTGTGTGGGGGAGCCGGGGCCAAGGGAGGAGGAGGGGGATGAAGGAGGAAGGCCACCAGTCCTCTCTCCTTAACCTGAGTCTCGGGTCTCTGATTCTGAGTGTTCAGGTTCCCTTGGGGCACAGGAAGAGCCCAAGAGAGGGTGACCCAGAGGGCGGGTGCGACCCGCATCCTTCCTGCCCGGCGGGCACCACGAACTCCCCCACAGTGTCCGGTCACGGCTAGGTCCAGGGAGCTGTGCCCTCACACTCCGCACGTCAGATGCCCCACGCCCAAGAAACCGGGCGCCCTCGAACGGGTGCTCCCTGAGGTGGGGGTTGGAGGAAGGACTCGCATTTCCTCGCCGGGAGAGTGCACTGTGGCAGCCACTGGCCCCTCTCCAGCCCCGGGTTCTAAGGACCCGCAACTTGTCCGGTGCAAGCGGCGAGACCTCATCCCGGGCCCTCCCGCTCCAACTCCAGAAGCCTGGACAAGATGAGGGGGTCGTGGGGGTTCGAGACACCCGGGCAGGAGAGGCGGGCCAGATGGAGGAGTGGGAGAAAGGGGTATTGGGGAGGTGTCAAGGCAGAAGAGGAGAGGAGACAGTGTGAAGGTGCGTGGTGAGCCGGGCAGCGAGCCCCCAGACTGGGCGGCTGCAGGCGGGGCCACAGCCTCCAGAGCAGCGGAGGCCGCGAGTTGGGAGGTGAGGGCCAGGAGGAGGCCAGCGGTAGGGCAGGTGGGAGACCGTGTGTGTGTGTGTGTGTGTGTGTGTGTGTGTGTGTGTGTGTGTGTGGTGGGGGTCCGGTTAGCAGGGGCTGATGAGGTCGAGCACGTCCTGGGGAAGGGACCCTGGAGGGTACCGAGACTGGGGGAGGCAGGGTTGGGGGACGCACCTTCCGGCGGGGCAGGGTGCCCCCGGACACGGCGAGCGCGCGGTACAGCTCTGCGGGGTGATAGTCCTCCAGCGCCGCGTACAGCTCGTCGGCCGGCGCCCCGGGGGTGGCGGCTGCAGCCGGGGGACCTGAGGCCCGGGTCGGGGCTGGAGCAGCATCCGAGTCCGGGGCCCGGGCAGCGGGGTCCGGGGCGGCGGCGGCCTCCTCTTTCTGCTGCAGCTTCCTGAGTCTGCGGAGGGTCATGGCTCCTGCGCGGGGCGCCCCACGGAGGCGGCGCTCCCGGAGCTGCGTGGCGCTGCCGGCCGCTGGGGGACACCAGCCCGGTGGGCCGCAGGTCGCCTCCCTTTATAGGCTCCGGAGCTGGGCGGCGCGCGGTCTCCGGTGGCCCCGCCCACAGCGCTGCCGGCTCCGCCTCCGGGGAGCACACCCCAGGAGCACAGCACAGCCTTCGACGGCCAGCGAGGCTGGGGAAACTTGGGGACCTGCACGTTCTCGACGGGAAACCTGGCCCCGAGGGGGGCAGGAGGAGGGATGGCACCTCGGGCGGGCGGGGCCAGCGTGTGCGCTGGAGTCTGCGAAGGGGCTTTCCTTGGGTGAGATTTGAAATTTGGGAGTGGGTGGTGCTAGCGATTCATGGAGAACAGGAACAGTAAGGGGGACATGTTAGGAAGTTTGGGGTCCTGGGGAAGATTGAAGAAGATGTGGGGGTGAGAGGGGGTGCGATGTGGGGGTGAGAGGCAGCGGGGCTGCGATCCCTAGAGGAAGGAGGGCATTGATACCTCTGAACTAACAGCGAACAAGTCCCGGGGAATGAGTGCCCTGGGACGCGGGATTTCCCCCTTTACACTCCTGTCCCAAAGAGCCAAAGAGGCTGCCTCTACTTGCGTCTGAGCAAAGGAAAGACGTGAAACCCTGAAAGCAGGAGGCTTAATTCTGGCTAGACCCTCGCAGGTCGAGAGCGGTCCCTGCAGGATAAACCTGTCCTCAGCTCCTGACACCTGAGGCCAGGTCTCCCTTTCCCAGCAGATACTTCTTTACTGTGGCGCTGACTCTTGACTCACAAGATTGGGGATGGGCCCAAGGCAAGTGTAGGTGCTGAGCCATTCTCTGACCCTGTCTTAGAGACCATCCCCCAGGCTTTTCGTTACCATGGTTGCCGGGGCTAGAAGAGACAGGGATGGCCCAGCGAAGTCTCTGTCGTCAGTGGTGCCCAAATAAGAAGTGAGAGGAGGAAGTGGAAGGCCACGTGTGATGTCTAAAGAGCAGCTAGCCACCACAGGCTGTCAGCACAAGCTGGGGACTCCACATCCCCACGCATTGCACTACACAGAGGCCAGAGCTGCATTGTTCCTGTTGTCCCTTCCCCCAGTCTTCTCGGATACCTAATGCTTTATAGCTGACGCTGAGCATTTACCAATGTGTTGTGTAGCTCGCCTTTACATATATGTATTAACCCACTCAGCGTGCTCTTAACAATACTATGGAGTAGGTACTATAACACTCGAGGAGACAGACCCAGAAGGTAAGCAGGCTGGCTAGGTTTCTCAGGGGTAGAACTGAGATTCAAACCCAAGCAGCATGGTTCCAGAGCTGCAGTCTGATTCCTCACTCCCACCCCATGATGCTGTCTTTCTCAGTTCTTCATTCATCCCACCTTTAAATTCAGCTTTGTGCCAGGACCAGCCATGTACTGGGCTCTGGTAGGCTCTTGGTCTGGTAGGAGTGGCATATTGTACATGTGGGGTATCAAATATGTGGCATGAGGGGTTAGATGGGAAGGAGCCATCCCATAAGGGGAGGTCAGTCTGTTTCAGTCTCCTTGCCTCCTGGACTGTGTGTCTGTCTTCTGCCTCCCCTAGGCGCTGGGACCTGCAGCTCTTCAGGAGGTGTGGGTGTGAGGGGATGCTTCTCTGGCCCGCTGTGATTGTACAAGCCCAGATGGCAGGAGGCTTGTTGGGTGGGGGCAGAGGTGGCTCCCTTAGTGCCTGCCTCCCCTGCCTCTGGCCTTCCCCTTTTGGGCCACCAAGTAGCTTTCAGCTGAGGGCTGAGAGGGTGTTAGTGGGGAAACATGGGACTCTATTGTGAGAATTAGCACAGATGGACCCCTGGACCGTCTGTTGCCTGCTCCTGACAGACAGCATCTGTGTCGGGGGAGGGGTTGGAGAGGTGCAGAAGCAGGAGATGCAATGGTTTCTCTTGTATTTATTTGAGGGATTATCCCTGAAGGGACCCTCAGAAGTGACCCATGCACAGCCTCTTCTATGATGAAACCACCCCCTACCCATGGGGAGAGCCTAATTTAGGTCTCCTTGCCTGAAACCTGGAACAATGGATGCCACAGGCGGGGTACAGCACTTGTGTCTAACAGTCTTCCTTCAGGTTGACGTGGAGGTGGAGACTCCTTCAGTTTATGCAGGTGGATTTCCGTCTTGTGAGAGAACTCCACCAGAGAAGTGACGTTTGTATCTAAATTTTCTCCTCCTGCCAGGAAGAAAGCCCTAGAAGCTAGATGCAGTGGCGCATGCCTGTAGTCCTAGCTACGCAGAAGGTTGAGGCAGGACAATGGCAAGTTTGAGGCTAGTCTGGTCAATTTAGGGAGCCCCCTCTGAGATAAGAAAAGGAAAGGCTGAGAGTGTAGTTTAGTAGTAATAGAGCGCTTGCTTAGTGTGTGCAAGGCCCTAGGTTCAATCCCCAACGCTGAAAAAAGAAAAGAACTGGAGTATAGAGCTTTTGCCTAGCACGTACAAAACTCTAAAGTACTGAAAAAGAAAGAAAGAAAGAAAACCAGTGCCAGGGAACCCAGGATAAGGATGGGCCCAGAAAATGCAATTTCTGTCAAGACTTGTGTGATTTCTAAACTCTGAAATTTCTGAGCTTGAAAGGCCCATGTGGACTGGATAGGATACTGTGTGGTCCAACCCTCACTTAACAGGTAGAGGGGTAGGTGAAGCGCTGGAACCCTCAGAATGTTAATTCAGCTGCTGGCAGCTTCTTGAAACTGTTACCTGCTCCCTCCTGACTCTTCTTTCCCCAGGGAGGGGATGGGGAGCTGCAATATGGAGTGGTGATGCCCTCTGGTGGCCATGGATCTTGTGGTTGGAAATACCTATTTTTCTGTGTCTCTGAGTCTCTCTGTGTGTCTGTGTCTCTTTCTGTCTCTGTCTCTTTTTCTGTGTCTCTGTCTCTTTTGAGGCTAGGTCTCACTATTTAGTTCAGCTTGGCCTTGAACTCTATGGCTGGCCTCGAATTCTCAATACCCTCCACTTCCGCTTTCTGAGTGCTGGGATTACAGGCAAGTGCCACCACATCCGGCTGCTGGGCACATTTTTAAACCAGATTGGAAGGCAGACTAGTATCAGCCTCCCAGCTCCTATCTCGCTCCTATCTCTCCCAAGAGGATCTGTGTTCAGCCTGCCACCAAGTTCTGGAATCTCACACTTGTCACAGCAAGGAAGTCATTCTTGTGATGGAAGCTGCTGCTGCCCTACTGCAGCAGGGAAATCCATCAGGGAGAAGCTGGACAGCTGGTGGGTCTTCCCCGCACAGTAACCTTCAAATACCAGGCAGTGCGCAAAGGCCCCTAAGGCTCTGCCTTCCACAGCTCTCCAAGCCGCCTGTTAACCCAGAGTCTTTTCCTAGCATCTGTTCTCCGCCTAACTGCTGCAACCCTTTCAACCTTGGGGGTGGGGCAGCATTCATATATGGTCCCCAACTTCCTACACCAGGACTCCTCCCCCATACTCCTCCCTCCAGGAAGCCTTGCAAATCCCCCATTGCTGACACTCTTCAGATATCTATACTCACTCTGTACCTTATTCCCAATTGATTTTTGTCAGAGTACATGCTAGCTGCTCCGGTTGTAGGCCCTGGGGATGGTGCTTGGCCTGAGTATTGCTTAGATGGTGGAGACCTGGCTAGTTGATAAGGCCTAGGTAACACCCCTCCTTTCTTTCTTTTTTTCTTTCTTTCTTTTTTTTGTACCAAGGCTCAAACTCACAACCTCATGCTTGCTAGTCAGGTGCTTACGGCTGAGCTAAATCCCCAGCCCTAACATCCCTCCTTTCAGAACAAGCCCATCCCAGATGCCCAGCCATCAATATAGCATGCAATAGGGTACAGGTAGGAGCTGACCCTTGTCCCCACAGACCTGTTCAAGCTTTGGGGTGCTACAGAGTCTCAGGCCCCTCTCGAGTTTCACTTCAGTCTCAGGCTCTGGCTTAGTCATTTCAGGATCCAGGACTAGAAGGGAGCATTAGTTCACCAGGAGCACCTTACTGGGTGCTGCCATTGCTTCTGAGCTGGGGAAGCAGAAAATGGAGGGTCTGGGCTCTCCTGGGTCTCTTGTCTGTTCAAAATGAGAGGCTGGGCCCTCAGTTGCATGACATTGCTTCTTTGAGGAGGCATGGACAGCTGGTAGACAGCTGCTGGGCAGGGAGTGGTTGTTTTTTTAATGGCTCTGACTGTGCACCAGTGTCCGTGGGAGAATGCCTGTGCTGGTGCTGGAGCCTTGCTAAGGGAGGAATCCAAGAGCAGGATGGATCCAGCACAGCCCAGTGACCCGAGGTCTAGGCAAATGTGGCAGTTTTGTTGGGTATGTGTCTCTGGGACTAGTCCCAGGGGCTGCCTTGCCTTTTACATGGGGATGGCAAGGTCTCTCCCCTGAACAGGTTAGAGTGGCAGAAGAAAGGGAGGCAAACTGTAGAGTTTTTGTTTGACAGTGTTCTTACAGACACATCACTCCTAAGACCTGGAGTACATAATATCGTCCTGCCTCATTTCATTACAGGTACACATGGTGAAGTCAAAAACTGATAGCTCTGAGGGTCCCAGCCTCCCTGGGGCTCTTCCTCCCTGTTGACAAGCACTGTTGCTTAATCCCTGGTTTCCTCTCCCAGGGGAAGACAGTGTGCACATCCTCTCTAAACACACACTCTCGAGACCCGATACTAAGATGTTCTGATTGAAAGCAGCTTTACAGGGCTGGGGATTTAGCTCAGTGGTATAAGTGCCTGCCTGGCAACTGCGAGGTCATGAGTTTGATCCCGGATACAAAAAAAAAAAAAAAAAAAAAAAGAAAGAAAAGGAAAGAAAGCAGCTTTACTCTTGCTCTCACCGTTTGCCTCTGATCATGCCCCAAACCTGTCTGTCCTACCCACAGCCTCTCCCTCTCCTGCCAGCTTTGCCTGCCTCACCGCTGCTGCAATTACCTCTCATGCCTACACTGTGATGCTGTTTTCCACAACTATCACCAGTAAGTTTATGTTTTTTTTTTTTTTTTTCTTTTTTTTTTTCCCTTTTTATCAGTACCGGGGATTGAACTCACGACTGCCTGCTTG